AAGAGTTGCATACTATAGGTATCAGAGGGGTAGCCGTGTTAGTCTGAATCTGTAAAAAGCAACAGAGGATCCTGTGGCACCTTTAAGACTAACAGAAGTATTGGGAGCATAAGCTTTCGTGACTTGCATCTGAAGAAGTGAGGTTCTTACCCACGAAAGCTTATGCTCCCAATACTTCTGTTAGTCTTAAAGGTGCCACAGGACCCTCTGTTGCTGCATACTATAGGCTTGATTGGCTTTCACCATTAAACATAAGTTAGTGTCACTACTTCAGTTCTACCAGCATTTGAGGTACTAACTAGGGGCCAGATTCTCCAGTCTGCTAAGAACGCTTTGCACCTTGTAAGCAGCACAAAGTGGCTTTAAAATGCCCAGAGATAACTGGTGTTGAATTCCCCTTATGTAGGGGAACTCTCCATCAGGAGAAAGCTGATAGAGGCAATTCTGTTACTTCCTGTGCTAGCCTCCCCTCTCCCTTATATAAGAGGAGGGGGAAGGGTTATTCCAGGGCTGGGCCGCATGGTGGAGTGGAGCTCCCTTATACTTGTTCATCCTCTTGTGTAAGTTCTCTTATGGACTTTAGGCCTTTGGCGGAAGTTAGAGTAGTCTCCCTGCTGCTTTAATTTCTGCCAGATCCTACCAGTTGAGTATTGATGCAAAAAATTGATGCAAAAAAGCTTAATAATAAAACAATTATCATTTTAGGTTATTGTGTAATTGGCTTCACTGTTACTGAATTTTAGGACATTGTTATTTTCATACACAAGATGCTTGGAGAATATGGTAGCTCACATGCTTATGTTTTTTGGTTAATTTTATAATGAAATGCTCAAGCTAATTAAGGAAATTCCTAGGAAATGTCTGCATTCTGTCAAACAGTGAGAACAAAGTGTCAAAGAGGATGACACCACCTTGCCTGTTAAACCATATTTATTACCTTCATTTGTGTTCACACAGATGCTTGTATGCAGCTTTATAGCTTCTATTTTGTTTTAACATTCTGTACTATTTTCTTTTTACGTTATCCTTTGGAAGATGTATATAAATTTTAGTAATTGGGATTTTGACCTTGTATAGAGTATTTGATAAGTGTCTTTAATTGCATATTGTGAATGTACAACAAATAGTAGGTTGTAAATCTAGGAACCATTTGCTCAAAAGGCAAGCAACCAAGAAGACTCATTTATGGTTGGGAAATGTTTTATGGAAGATACTGGTTACTTCTAACTCATGTTTCTACTCAAAGGTGAAAACCTTTGTTGTCCCTCAAATGCTTAACATGCTATAAGCTTATTTTGACATGTATATTTGCAAATATTGTATATCTAAATGCGGGCCTTCATATAATAACTGCCTGATACCATTATATGAAAAGTAAGATATTTTATGTACAAATGTAGCTAAGCCATTTAATGCTATAACTGGTTACTAATGTAAGAAGCCATTTGAGTATAGAAAGTATTTATATTAATTGGGAAAACAGTTAGTTATCTGGCAATGCGTAAGCAGCTCCTTATCAAGCTCAGAAAAACCAGAAGAATCTTTCCAAGGATGGTACAAAGAAAAGACAATACTTTCTTTGACCATTTACATTTAAATACTCTCTTTAAGAATCTTTTATATTTAAAAAGACTATTTTAAGAGCTCAAAGTTTACATTTAAAAAGGCTATTTTAAGACCTGAAAGGCCTGAAGACTATTTTAAGACCTGACTATTTCAAGAGCTTTTATGCAGGAAATAGGAGTATTTGGACTCACTTGAAACATAATTTCTGCTCCTATTAAACACTGATGGATCTAAAGGGATAACTCAGAAAATAAATTGATTAAAAGAGAGAGTTAAAACTTTAAATATCAAAAATCAATATACCCATAAAGCTGAAGAATAACAACTCTGCTGCATATGCAATAGCAGATTGAATATTCACGAGCTGAAGATGGTACCAGCACAATCCAGTAAAGATGTTGAGCCAATGGAAGGTGACAGCAGCTGATACTTAAATCCATCTGTACCCCTGAAAGAGGTCTGTCTTCCACTTTCAGTGAGGCCATGGAAAAAGAAGTGTATAAATTTCTCTGAACTGAAACTCTCTCTTATGCTTATACCTTTATCCTTATGTACTGTTACACACACTTGCCCAGTTACACTCTAGCTCTCAGCACTCATCTTAGTTTAGCCACTTAATTTCATCTCTACAAGCAAACAAAAAGCAACAAGACAGCTAAGAACAATAAAACCACAACATAGCATCAAGAGGAAGCAACCTTCCAACCACCACTGCTTCTACAACATCATCACAACACTGAGAATTCAGCATCACTGGTGAGATGGAGTTTGCCAAAGCACTGCCAAGGGATTAGATTTAACTTGTTCTTGTACTAATTTTAATGCAGTATTGAAATCCTATTATAATTTAAGTATTAATAGCTTTTTGTGTTAAACCCCAGATTGTTTAGACTCTGTATTCCTGGAAAGGAGACATAAGCAAATATTGATAAATAGAGAGAAGTTGTGGGATTTAATTTGAATTTAAGATTGTTAATATTATTAATTTGCATGTCTTGACCACTGCTTGAATGGCTTCTTTTAAGTGACCAACTTAAATACCTTCTTTAGTTTCATAGGACTTAGACTGACTTCCATGATTTCAATGGGAGTTGAGCACCTAAATACTTCTGAGCATCTGGGCCTTAGTTAAGATCACTCATCTTTCTTATTCATAATGAGATTCACAGATCAATGACACTGAGTCTCTGCTCTATGCAGCCCTGGAGACGGACCAGACCTGTCAATTAGAGGCATGGAATGTGTGGCTCCACCTCTGAGGAACCACCAGTTTTTCATCTGTCTCTTTTTAGCTTCAGGCAGGCAGACCATCTCCTCCCTGCTGCAGAGCAAATTTGAAGAGGAGGAGGAAAAACAGGCTTAAAGTCACTAAGCTGTCTTGGTCTACCTTTATCAGCACAGGGGGACTCCCTTTCTCTTCAGAGTCACTGGAACTCTTCATGCCCTGCCTCACCCATGTGGAGTTCAGCCTGGTGGAGAAAGCTAAGAAGGCCAGACGTTGTGTCTCCTGTACCTCCCCTGGATGGAGATTTGTGCCTGCTCTGCAGAGACTCAGGCGCCTCTCAAGTGCTAAGGCTAGGGTACATTTTTCTATGGCCTCCCTCCTCAAGCAGGAAAGCTCCCAAGAAAAAGCAGCACCTCAGCTGCAAAATCGCCCTTGGGACAGGTAGCAGCCCCAAGAATGATGGTTCCTTCCTTCACACACCCACATGTGGCAGAAGTGTAGGTTAAAGTAGAATATCAAAGGGCCAGGGAAGCTCCCCTTCTCCAGCTGCTGGAGCCTATGCTCACAGCCCTGAGTGTTGACCATGAGACAGCTACCCAGCCCCTCCCACAAAGCTGCTGTGGCAGCAGGGAGCTACTGATCGGGATGCAGAGCAAGGAGCCTTTAGCCAAACCTCTCCTTCCATTCTGCAGCCTTTTCTATGATTAGCTTATTATCTTTGACAATTTCAAAACTTTTTCCAAAACCTTTGAGTTAAAAAGAATAATAATAATAATAATTGAAACTGAGACTGCCCCACAAACAGTTTCAGTTTTTAACAAACTGATATTTTTCAACAGAAACATTATGTTGATATAGTCCCATCCAGCTCTACTCAACATCTCATTCTGTGCACCCACCCCAGACTTAATTTATAGCATGCAAAGCACTCCTGCCCTATGTCTGAGAATCAAACTGTACCTTTATATGGCACCATAGAATACATCTGCTAGGAGAGTCCTTGGGCATTTTCTTTTGACATATAAACATATGGGGCCTGTGAATTCTGTCGCTTCAGTTGGTTGTGGTGGAATAGTGATGCAGTACTGGAAATCTGTAACATGATTGGACGCAGATATTAGTTTTGTTTTCTTCTTCTGAAGTGCAAATATGACTTTTGCTGGATTTGCCTAGAAGAATGGAAGAAGCACAGCTCTTCTACTGGAGGCTATTACAGGTGCACTCGCTATGAAATCATTCAGCATGTAGAGGAACAGTCCAAGGAAATGACAGTGGAGGTAGGAGATTAAACTGTATTGGCTCCAATAAAATACTTAGGCTGTAATTTTCTGTCTTGCCTAAGATTCTGAATTGGTGTCCCTGAGAAAAATTTATTAGAGTTTAATTTTTCCCCATCCAAGGTCCTCAGTGGAACAAAAGTGAATTATAACTCTAAATATCATATTGAGGTAATAGGAAGAAAATACTGTCAGGCTTGTGTTTATACTGGGAACAAAGACAACTGGGTTCTCTCTTCTGCTACTAACCCACTGTGTGGTGTTGGGAAAGTCATTTCATCTCTCTCTACCGTGGTTACCATTCTCTGCAACCAGTGTAGTAGTCCTGTAATTACCCGCTGTGCCTCAGAGAAGTGTCATTTGGCTTAATTGATATTTGCAATGTACTTTGAGGTCCTCTGTTTAAAGGTTGCTCTATAGGCACAAAATCTCAATTCCTCAGTTCTGATGGCTGTATCTGTCAGACTTCTGATTTCAAAACATTACCTTTCTGTGTCTTAGACTACTCCTAGGCAAATTCTGCACCACTGCATAATGCAGAATTTTGCAAAAATTAATGTGCGTGCAGAATTTCCTCCTCTTCCTCCCCCCCCCCCCCCCCAAATGGGCTGCAGTGCTGCTGGCCACCACTAGGGGCCACTGGACCCAGCAGAGCCCAGTTTGCACATAGAAGACACTGCTCGGGGGAGCAGGAGCTGGAGCATTCCCGGCAGCTGCAGTTCCCTACACACTCTGAGGGAAGGGAGACCACGACATGCAGGAAACTCCACTCAAGCCTGGGACCGAGCATCAGGCTGTTTTTCCCTCTGGATCCCTGGGCACTGGGAAGGAGGGGGGGTTTGGGCTGGGGGGGCAAGGCTGGACTCGAGGGGGAGGGTGTCTGGGCTGGGGGGACCCTGTAGCTGAGCTTTGGGGATGGAGGAGGCTGGGGGGGGGGCTGGGAGGGGGCTCTGTGGCTGTGCTCTGGTGGTGGAGGGGGGCAGGTGTCTAGGCTAGGGGGCCTCTGCAGCTGAGCTCTGGGCGGGAAGGATGTGTGGGTATCTGGGATGGGGGGCCCCTGCAGCTGGGCTCTTGGGAGGGCAGGTGTCTGAGCTGTGGGCCCCTGCGGCTGGGCTAGGGAGGAAGGGGCTTCAGGTGTATTCGCTGGGGTCTGGCCCCATGGCTGGGTTTGGAGGGAAAGGGAGAAGGGGGTGAAACAGGAACTGGGTTGTCATAGGGGTTTCTTTACCTCTGTACTCCTGGAAGAATTTTTTGTTTGTATGTCTGTATTGTTACAGACAAGCTTGCTGACTGGTATTTTGAAATAAATTACCAAAATAACTGAAACTGGCGTGATTATGTAGTATTATTTTGACAAATGAAATTGGCAGAATTTTAAAATATTGTGCGCAGAATTTTTAATTTTTTTGGCACAGAATTCCTCCAGGAGTACGTCTTAAACAGTACCCATTACCATGGTATTTGTGTATAGATGTCTAATAGTCTGAAACAGCTGACTATATTTTGTATTTGCTGATGATTGTTAAAATAATATAAGTGTAAATGGATGACTCATGTTTGATTTCTTATTTTCTAGGCTGAAAAGAAACATAGACGATTTCAAGAGCTTGATAGGTTTATGCATTATTACACGAGGTTTAAGAACCATGAGCTCAGCTATCAGGTATGATCCAAACAGTTTCTAATAAATTTTTTCCCCCACTTTATTAGTCCAATAATTAGATGAATTTGTTGAATTTTATTTATGTCCCTTTTTTTAGTTAGAACAGCGCCTTCTAAAAACTGCCAAAGAAAAGATGGAGCAGTTGAGTAGAGCTCTCAGTGGAAGTAAGTAGTGTTTGTTGGTATTTACTGATTTATATAACGGTGGTCTGAAGTCAAATATCTCTTTACACTAAAAGAACAATTTTGTTCTTCAGATTTTTCTTTACTTATATTGATGCCTACAAGAAATGAGATATTTCAGACTGCTAGTTCTGTACATTTCAGTCTTTGAACTTTCAGCCTTTGTCAGTCCTCAGTTCATCTGATGTTAACTTGAGTTTGAGTCCTTTGTTGTTAAGGAGATAACAATTCTCTTTCAGTATTTATGTGTAACAGCCCCCCACACCTGATTCCATGTATTTGTTTTGTCCTTTCTCCCACATACTTTAAATAATGTTAATGAAAATTGCTTGAGGAAACAGTGAAGTATGAATTTCAGACTCTTAATGGTATCTTACATTTATGTAGTGACTTACACTCTGAAGGATCCCAAGGTTCATTAGTGTCAAGTATCAGTAGGTAGCCATGTTAGTCTGTATCTACAAAAACAACAAGGAGTCTGGTGGCACCTTAAAGACTAACAGATTTATTTGGGCATAAGCTTTCGTGAGTAAAAAGCTCACTTCTTCGGATGCATAGAGTGAAAGTTACCAAGGGTAATGAAAAGTTCATTAGGAACTACAGCATGTATGCTACATAGGAAGAATCACTTGCTTCTGAAATGCAGTCACCTTTAAGGTGAGGAAAGATTATTTGATTCAACCAGTGCACAGCACAGTACACAACTTGTTACATGTGATCTGTTCTGAATCAGTTTTTCTTACTTTGTAGAGAAGTGTACCCATAAGAAAGAAATAAAGTCTTGATCCTCCAGTGAGCTCTCCATGTATGCAGGGGTTGCGCACGAGGAGCTCTTTGCAGGATCATGGGTGTAAGTTTGTATTGAAACTGTATGAAGATGACCTGCTATGTCACCACCTGCAAGAGTGGAAATTCAGACCTGGTCAGGTCGTCACTGCAGGGAGTTTTACCCAGCTGACCCAAGTGACCAATCTTATCTGTCCTTCTGGATAGGCCTTTTATGGATAGGGCCCATTAGGGCCTATTACATGGTGTAATTTCTCATTCTGAAATGTTAGTGTGAATAAAAAGTAGTAAAAGCTTCTATTAGGAAGTAGAATAAGCATATGAGACTCTAAATACACACAAGGAATAAACACTTGAGTCAGAGAGAAGTTAGTGATACATAGTTACTTTTTTTTAACCATAACCACACCTATCCATTTACAGTATGGACTGGAATTTATTTGGAAAATATTTCTGATCTTACATTAACACACACTTGTACTTCTTTTGGGGGAAACTCTCATAATAAAACTATTAAGGTCAGCAGAAAAATGTTTTTACAATGCTTGTGTTACTGTACAGCTGAAGGAGGCTGTCCTGATACCACTTTCATTGAAGATGCAGTACAAGAGCTCTTAAAAACTCGCCGCATTCTCAAGTGTTCTTATCCATATGGATTCTTTTTGGAACCTAAAAGCACAAAGAAAGAAATATTTGAACTTATGCAGGTAAAATAAGTATGTTTTGCTTTTTGTGACAGAACTAATTTTTCTTGTAATACTAGTTATCCATATTGCATGTTTTCTGACTATATAAAATTCTTAAACTTAGTTCAAAATGACAAAGACGTGGCAAGAACTGTGTATAATGAACTGTTTATTTTGCTGTAGCATTAAACTCATTGTTGGGTCTATATGATTTTGAATTCTGTCTTTAAAGGTTTTAAGGCTACAACCAAATTAGGGGGAAGGGAGTGAAGAATACTTTTGGCAGAATTGTTTAGTCTATAATGCAATATATTTTATTTCAGCTTTAAAGACAAACAGATTCTTAATGAAAAAAAATACACTTGTAATTCTGTTTTTCTGAAGATATATGAACAGGCTTCTCATTCCTGGATTAGGCTGAGACCAGCAGATCTCCTTCAATTCTAAAATAATTTTGATTCCTAAGGGCACTGGCTTTGGGTATAGTGCAAGCCTAAGCCCTGTATTGACCATCAAATCTCCTTTCTCTGCCAGGTGTAAATAATGCCCTCTAAATGATCTAGTCAATCCCTTCGTTTGCACAGGAAGTGAAGCTCCCTAGGATGGTAAACCAATACAAAATGATTAACCATGACCAAAAATATGCCCCAAAGGAAAAAGAATCAAGGCATAAATATTAAAGAAGATACCTCCCCACAGAGTTTGGGAATTATGTGGTGAATGAAAGTTATGTCAGAATGATGCTTTTCTCAACAGACAGCCCCTTTGTTGATGGCCATCAAGGAGGAACTGACTGAAATTAGAGGGCAGTATTTATTACACCCAGCTGGGGATGGCATGCAATGGCACTAGAGGGCTTGACTCGCTATACCTCACAACTTCATTTATATATATGTATTTCCATAGCACCTAAGAGCCCTAGTTAAGGATCAGGACCCATTATGCTAGACACTGTACAAACACAGAACCTGCCCCAAAGAACTTACAATTTAAGAATAAGACGGGATGGATAAAGACAGATTGGGAGTACAAGGAAACAACGAGACAGTATTGATCAGCATGATAGGCATTGTCTTAGCACACCTCTGCCCTCAATGGTAAAAATTCTTTGAGGGCTGAGGGAGTTCAATCAGTTTCTTGTTAAGGAGCTAACACCCAGGAGTGAGAATCCTGTCAGGATGGTATCTCTAGAGAAATTGAATTATTCAGTACAGGAACTCCTCACTTAACGTCATCCCGGTTAACGTTGTTTTGTTGTTCCATCGCTGATCAAATAGAGAACATGCTCATTTAAAGTTGCAAAATGCTCCCTTATAACGTTGTTTGGCAGCCACCTGGTTTGTCCACTGCTTGCAGAAAAAGCAGCCCGTTGGAGCCAGCTGGTGGGGGCTTGGAACCAGGGTGGACCATCAGCTCCCTGCTCCCATAAGTTCAATGTGCGGCAGCCACCCAGCAGGCTATCCATTGCTGGCAGTTCAACTGTCCCTCCCCCCACTGCCGTGTGCTGCTCCTGCCCTCTGCCTTGGAGCTGCTCCCGGGAGCCTCCTGCTTGCTGTGCGGGGATGCTAATGTCAGGTTGCCTCCCTCCTCTGTCCCCTGCTCCTTTACCCCATCTCCACTGAACAGAGCGGGGGACACGACAGGGGACAGGGCTCAAGATGGAGGGAGCTTGCTGGCAGCAGCTGCTGTCTCAACTAGCTGATCTACTTAAAAAGGCAATGTACTTAGAGTAAGGTTAGTGTACTTAAAGGGGTAATGCACGTGTCTCTGTCTCTCTCTCACACACACCATGTGTGTCTCTGTCTCTCTCTGCCATGCTGTCTCTCCTTTCTCAATTCGTGCTGCTTTGTAAAGTGTGAGGCTACATTAACAACAATGGGTTAACCCTTGAGGGCTCAGCCGAGTGCTAGTTCATCGTTTAGCAGTAAGACATTCCTTGGGAAATATCCCACCCTCTTCCACCCTCTGACTTCACCACCTCAACCAAGCTTCACAGTCATTATTGCTGTGTACAGTATTAAATGGTTTGTTTAAAACTTATACTGTGTGTGCGTGCACGCGCACATGTGTGTGTGTTGTCTTTTTTGTCTGGCGATTTTTTTTTCCTGGAACCTAAACCCCTCCCCCCCCTCCCCTTGGATTCACTTAACATTGTTTCGCTTAAAGTAGCATTTTTCAGGAACATAACTACAGGGTTAAGCGAGGAGTTATTGTATAGCATGTTTACAGTGCAGTTATGCCAGTTGTTCATTTAACGGTTTTATTTTGTTGTAACATTACATGGTATACTTTGTTTATTTTCTGTTGCAGACAGACTTAGAAATGGTCACGGAAGACCTTGCTCAGAAAGTAAATAGGCCTTATCTTCGTACTCCTCGTCACAAAATAATCCGTGCAGCATGTCTTGTGCAGCAGAAGAGGCAAGAGTTTTTGGCCTCTGTGGCCCGTGGAGTTGCCCCTGCAGACTCTCCAGAAGCTCCAAGACGCAGGTAATTTAGGTATAAAAAGAGAGTGCAAACCAAAAAAGTTCAGGTTACAGCTACCAAGCTCTGTGAACCCACCTCTCAAACTAGTGCTTGCTTTGACATACACATCAAAGCAAAACAGAGCTGACAATTTTGTAGTTGTAGGTCACTGGCTCAACAAACACTTTCTTTATTTGATTCACGGGGGGGAGTTGCTGCCGTTTGTGTGACTCGGGCGCGGGTCCCAGCGGCATTCCTCGGGTGGGTCCGCACGTAGTTGCCACGAGCGAGTGAGGATTTTGATGTAGGGAGACA